TCCTATATCCACAGTTGCTTCTGAATCTGCTTTTAGCACTAGTGGTCGTGTACTTGATGCATATAGAAGCTTTTTAACTCCTAAAATTATGCAAGCCCTTATTTGTGCTCAAGATTGGTTACGTAGATCTTTTAATCTTGATTCATTTCAACCTGAAGATGATTTGACACAGCTTGACAAAATGGATTTGGGTAACATTTTATTTATATCATCATTTATTTTTTAAGTATTATTATTTTTTATTTGTTTAAAGCTTATTTTTGTTATTTTTTGTTTATATATTTTTAGATTTTTCAAAAATTGCTTTAGATCCAGTAATTGATTAAGAAAAAGGTGCATAAAGCATTTGAGGTAATTTCATTATTAATTTCTATGAATATTTGCATTTAGAAAATATTTATTTTATTCTTTGACAAATAATTAAGGTTTTGATCTCTTTAACATCTTAGGAAATAATGAAGGATGTGCACTGAAGCTATGGGGTTCATGTATGAAGAATGTTGTTAGAACTTGGAATGTTATTTAATTAGCTTGTTTTATGTTTTTTATGAACTTTTATATCTATTTGCCAACGCGGAGTGTCTTTAGTTTGTTTATGTTTTGTATGAGCTATTAGCTCAATTTGCCGACTTAAAATATCTTTTATGTTTTGCATCAAAGTTATGAAAACTATATTTACTTGATTTGCATTTTTAAGTTGGCATGTTGACCCTTGAAAACTTGTTTATGTGTTGAAATGACAATTATTAGGTATTGATGGCTTTGTTTTTTATTTGATATATGTTAGAGTAATACTTTTTAAAACTTATTGTTTAATTTATTTTGATTAAACAAGTTTAAATGAGTATTTATTTATCTTTTTTCTTGCAAAATATTGTAGAAATTATTAAATTCTTTAGTGATTTAGTTTGAATGGTATGTGAATTTAAGTTTATTGGATTGAATTTGTAGCTAAATAATTATTCAAAATAAGAAAAAATGATAAAAAAAAATTCGGTTATTTAATCGAATTAATCGAACCGAACCGATTTTTGGTCGGTTCAATTAAATCGATTATTTAAAATTTTATTGGTCGGTTCGGTTACTGGTAGAATAAAAATCGATTAATTCGGTTATTAATTTTTTTAGATCGAACTGACCAAATTGATCGACTACTCACCTCTAAATTATAGGATATATAAGAGGGATTAACATATAGGATGTATGCATGTGCCTTTTGTAATCAACATTTAGAGGATATCAAACATATTTTCATGGAGTGTCGGTGGATCAGGAACATTTGGAATGGTTTGAGAGAAGTAGGACACCTTGTTACCACCCCTGATCTAGATGTGGGAACTTGGGTTAGAGAAATGCATCATGCAAACATGGATTTTGCCATAATGGGATCCTTTGGGACTTGAAATTCATACTTTATGGGAAATTTGGAAGGAATGAAATAATATAATTTTTAAAGGCACTATGAGCAAAACAAACATTATTTGGAAAGTGTCCGAGAGTGCAGGAAAGTACTTTGCCATGAATCAAAAAGATGTTAGGATCACTTCTAACTCTTTTGTTCCCATCTGATGGGTTTCTGCAAGAGTCCGTTGGTGTAAGTTAAATACTAATAGGTCTTCTTTCGGGAATCCTAGTAAAGCTGATGCTAACGTCCTTATTTAAGATCATAATGAGAAGTGGATTGGGGATCTTTTAGATTTATTGGTTTCGGAACCAATATCCTAGCCGAGACATGGGCATGTAAGGATGGCTTACTCTTAGTCAAGAACCTTAACATCCAAAACCTTGAAATTTAACTTGATGCTTCTGTTATCATCTCTATGGTTAAAAGTCAGAGTTTGCTTAACCCTATGTTTCAACTTCTTATCTTTAATTGCGACAGCTCCTGAAGGAGCTTGGTAACCAGAAGGTTCTCTATGTCTTTAGGGAGAGCAATAAATGTGCGAATGCTCTTGTTGTGTTTAGTAGTTAAGTTTGTAATAGTTTAATTGGCAATGAAGCCACTTTGTTACTTTTGTGAAACCTCCTAACTTTGTTAAAGACTTGTTTTATGTTGATGCAACGGACACTTTTATGTACCGTATGATGTTTTAATATTTCTTTATTTTAATACCTTTAACTTTATCAACTCATGCATGTCCTTTTCTTTTTATGTTGTTTTGTTTTGGTTGGAGATTTCTATATGACCTTTATGCATTGAAAGGAAAATATTTTTTTGGAGAATAACTTTAACAGATGCTAGTGCCTTGCTTTTGATTTTTTTTTTTTTAAATTTCTTTTAACATTTACTATCCATTAGGCATTAGCTATGGTGACTAAGGTGAGATAAATATAGCAAATAAACAATATTTTTATAACTAAGTATTTTGCGGACAAATTTCCTAAATATTTTTTAAGATTATTACACTAAGTAATATCTTCAATTAATGAGTTGAAAATAATTATAAAAATTGTCAACTCTTATATTTCATGCTAGTACCTTAACAAATGTTTTCAAAATACTCTAGAAGTGTTTATAAGTTGAATTGGATAGGAGTCGATTGGCACCTCAAAATGCTCGTCTATGACCTTATCCAATTTGCCTATTAAAATTCATTTAATTTAAATTTATTTATTAAAATATTAAACTACTTTTATTTTAATATTTTAATAATTTTAAATATATATTTAAATTAACATAAATAATATTAATTATTTTATGAATTGAATCAACCCAAACTTAAAAATTCGACTCTATTTGTATAAAAAAATGATTTCCAAAAATAAATTTTACATTTTTTATATTTGTTTAACAAAAAATTGACTAATCAATGAAAAATTATTTATTGGTCAATAGAAAATGAAGCTAATTTTCTGAAAATTATTTCTTATTTAAAAAAAAAAGATAATTTTCGAAAACGAATTGTTTATGAGTAGGACCATATATCAAACTTATAAGCATAGTTTAATTTAAGTTTGACCTTAAAAATGATTTTTTAAGCTTGGACTTAATTTGATTCGTTCTAAAATATTATTTTATTAACAAAAATATTCTATTTAATTTTAATTAAGAAATTATTATTTTTTAAATATTAAAAGTCTTTTAATATTTTAATTTTAATTTTTTTTTAGTTTTAATCAAGCTGAACTTTGGATATGATTGTTTAAACTCGAAATTAATTTGATTTGGCTCAAAATAATATTATATTAATAAAAAGTAATTTTATTTTATTTAAATTAAAAATCAAAATATTAATATTAATATTTAAAGGTTGCTAATATTTTAATTTGAAATATTTACATTTTGTATATTATTAAACATAAATATTTTTAATATTTCAATAATAAATATTATCATATTATTATTTTAGTACTAAATAATAAATTTTATATAGTAAATGATTTCTTATTTGTTTAATATAATAATATTATTTTACTATTATGACTATTTTAAATCATTTTTTAATATTTTTAATTTAAAATATATTATTTCCATATTCTATTGACAAATGTATTTATATTACTATTTTAATAATAAATAAAATAAATAATACTTTAATTATAAATTAATAATAAACATTTTCAATATAAAATATATCTATTTTAATAGTAAATATTTTTATTATTTAAATAATAACTAATAATATTAAAATATTATTATACTAATAGAAACAATTTTTCAAGAAAAGTAATTCTATTTTAAATATTTTAAAATATTAATACAAATAATAATTTAATAATTTAATATTAAATATTATTATTAAAATAAATAATAAATTTAATAATAAATGATTTCAATATTTTAATAATATATAATTTCGAATATTTTAATATTTATGTTAATATTATTTAAATGAAAAGCATTTTTTTGTGTAGGCTCATTATGATTATTGTAGATTTATTATGTCTAAGAATAATATTAACTATTTTGTAAACCTAAAAACTATTTTATTTAGATAAAATCTTACCATTTATATTATTGTAGACATGCTTTGTAACTTTTGTAAGATTATTTTTTGTGTAAGAATAATATATAAATTATTTTATTATATTTTAAATTTGTAAGATTTTATTACAATGATTTTATTGTGTTGTATTTTTTAATTATGAACTATTATTTTATATTTATAACATTTATTATTATTATTATGGATAAATGTAAAAATATTAAATTTAAAAAAAAAATCTATCTTTTAAAATTTATTTTCAAAAAATTATTTTCAATAAAACAAACAAGCTGCATGTCCAAAATTGGTTCAAACCAGGCCGAGCTGGCATTTGTTGGGCAATGATGATTTTAACTTTGGATGATGGAAAAGAGTTACGAGACAAACAAATTTCAAAGGATTAATTTCCATAAAAAGGAAGTGTTATTCACAAATACAAGTGAAATATAGTAAAATAATGGAATTCCAACGGCAAATGGACATTGGATTGAATTATTTTGGTGGAATAATTGATTTTTTGCCATAAATAAACTAAAGTCATCTTTATGGTTATATTGTTTTTCCATGTTAGAACCAATCAAGGGTAGACTTTTTTACTCCTCTGATTATGAAACCAACCTAAACTTTTTTCTTGTGAGAAAATTATCTCATTTTAAGATTATAATATATCTAAGATTTCAACAAAAAAAATAATATTAAATTTCCATATTTTCTATCAAAGAAATTATTAGCAGTCGAAATTAAACCTAACTCTTCGAAAAAAGGTGTATGACTCTTATCGGTTCAATTAAATCCCATTTGTTTGAACAATATTCAATGAATTAATTATTGTTTGCTTTCCAAAAGCAACTTCTCGCTCCGATATCTCACGATAAATTCATGATTGACATGATAAAAAATCAGTGTTTTCAACTTTCACGTGATATTTTAAGTACCACATTTTTTTGTTTTTCCATTCTTCCGTTGAAATGGCAGGTTCCGTAATACTAACCAACATCTAGGGTCAAACTTCCTGGGCCCCCCTCAGAAAAAAAAGGCTGTCGCTTCTTTAGGATTGAGAAAAATATCGCTTTCCTAGTTCTTTCCCCCTACTGCTCACCCTTACCTTCATCTTTATTATTACCGTTCGATCAAAATCCGAGAAAAAATATTTTTAATCGACGGTTTGAAAGAAAACTGGAAGTGAAATAGCCTCTCATTCCGCGCCGGCTAAGTGGGGTCATCTTTTCCACTGTATTTGTAATAAGCCATAATGGTTATCACTGGACTTATAGTTTTCAATAAGCGCTCATCTGATAAGCACGTTGACTTATCATCTTCTTTACATAGTCTCCTCTTTCCTATAAAAAATCACCACTTCTACAAGCATCTAAGTTGGGTAATATATGAAAGGAATATAATTTTCTAGACAAGAAAGACAATCTCTGGCAGCCTGGTTTTTTTTAATGGAAGGGGTTATTTTTTTAAGCCAGAGAGAGGAAGCTTGTTCTTTTTTCTTTCTTTGTCTGAAAATGGATCTTTTCAAAGTATAAGGTAAGTTTCTAAAAAAATCTTGTGTTTTTTTATTCTCCTATTTTGCTTTAACATGTTTTTTTATTAATTTTTTTACTTTAATTTTTATTGTGAAAAATTGCATCTTGCATTTCTGGTATAAGAGTTATGTGTTTTTTCGTTTTTTGTCTCTTTGATTAAAAAAAACCCTAGAATTTACCTCTTTCTTGTTTATTTCAAAGTTTTCTTTTAGAGCTGAAGATGGTTGAATGAACTAGTTTCATGTGAAAATTTTAACTTTTAGGTTTTTTTTTTTTTTTTTTTGAATTTTATGGGATTTTAAAGGTGTTTTTGACTGATACTTTTTTGTATTTTTTGGAATTCTTTTGCAGATCAAGTGTTTATATTTGGTGATTTTTGTTTCATCGTTGGAAATTGAAGACGGGGCGGCTACGATGTCATCTCTCAGTAGAGAGCTTGTGTTCTTGATCTTACAGTTTCTAGATGAGGAAAAGTTTAAAGAGACTGTTCACAAGTAAGTTTTTTTTTTTAAAGGGAAAATAGCATGTTAATTTTATTAGTTTTTAAAACTTACTGAGATTTAGAATTTGTTGTTAACTGATAAATTGAAATGTAATGATTTCTGCTTATAAATGGTTTTTATTATTTGAATTTAAATAGGCTTGAACAGGAATCTGGGTTTTTCTTTAATATGAAATATTTTGAGGATGAGGTGCATAATGGAAATTGGGATGAGGTTGAAAAATACCTCTCTGGTTTCACCAAGGTAGATGATAATCGATATTCCATGAAAATCTTTTTCGAGATAAGAAAGCAGAAATATCTTGAGGCATTGGATAAGTAAGCTTTTGCATACTTTTCAATTTTGATTTGTTTTTATTAATCATTGAAAATTTGTAAAGTTTCACTAATTCAGTGACAATTGGAATAAATCTTATTTAGGCATGATCGGTCCAAGGCTGTGGAGATATTAGTAAAGGATTTGAAAGTTTTTGCTACATTTAATGAGGAACTTTTTAAGGAAATCACTCAGCTTTTGACGTTGGAGAATTTCAGGTATGGGGCTTTTGTTTAATTGTTCAAGTCTTGATGTAAAATAAATAACAGTGAATGTACTGAAGACTGCATTACTTTCATAACAGAGAGAATGAACAGTTGTCAAAATATGGAGATACAAAGTCTGCTAGAGCAATCATGTTAGTTGAACTCAAGAAGCTTATCGAAGCAAATCCTTTATTCCGTGACAAATTGCAGTTCCCTAACCTTAAAAATTCAAGGTTACGCACTCTCATTAATCAGAGGTAATTTTTCTTCTATTGTTAGATCTTTATCATCGATGTGTTAGCTGCTTTGAAGAGATTGGGGGGTGGGGGGAGGGGAACTTCTAGTTTTCATGTAAATTTTATTTATGCAATGAACTCACATATATGGCATGACATTTAAGGTTAGTTTTTTATTGCCTCAGCTTTTGCATTTAAACTTTTTACCTTTTTTTGAGGGGGGGTGGGGAAGGTGGGGGGCCTTCTATTTTGCAATTTACATTTTACTTATGCAATTAATTCACACGTATGGCATGTCATTCAAATTACTTTCCTATTGCCTGTGCTTTTATTGCTGTTCTCTCAAAAAAAGTCAAACTTTTATTGCTGCTCTTCTTGAGTTCTTAGTTCTTACTGGCACTGATGTTTTTAATAAGGCCAAGTTATTATAGTTGTGGCTTTAGGGGACAGCTGATTTCTTGTGCGATTACAGCTTGAATTGGCAGCATCAACTTTGTAAAAACCCCAGGCCAAATCCGGATATAAAAACTCTCTTTGTGGATCACTCATGTGGACAGCCAAATGGTGCACGAGCACCATCACCTGCCAACAATCCACTTCTTGGATCCTTACCGAAAGCTGGAGGATTTCCTTCCTTAGGTGCTCATGGGGTGGGTATCCATATTAGATAGTAGCATAAAAGTACCTCTTTCACTGTCGAAATCCTTCTCTTAATGTTCTCGATTTACATCTTCAGCCTTTTCAACCTACGGCAGCACCAGTGCCAGCACCCCTTGCAGGTTGGATGTCTAATCCTTCAACTATAACTCATCCAGCAGTTTCTGGTGGAGCTATTGGTCTTGGTGCTTCTTCAATACCAGGTAGTTTTTTCTTCCTCTTTTGTTTTCTTCTGTTGTCACTTCCTCTCTAGGTTTCCTTTCTAGCATGATGCTGATATCATTCCTCCTCCTAGTTCTTTTCTTTTAACTTTAGGCATGTTTCATTGTTGACTTGTAGCTGCATTGAAGCATCCAAGGACTCCTCCAACTAATCCGTCTGTAGACTACCCATCTGGGGACTCTGATCATGTTTCCAAAAGGACAAGGCCCATGGGGATTTCTGATGAGGTACCCTGGTTTTACTTTAATAAATTTAATTGATATGCATTCTAGCTGCTGGCTTAGGTGTCTGGTGATTAAAGTCGTGTTTCTTTCTGCCTAGGTTAATATACTGATCTTTGCTCACTTTGTGCAGGTAAATCTTCCTGTCAATGTGCTGCCGGTAACATTTCCTGGCCATGGTCACAGTCAAACTTTCAATGCACCTGATGATCTGCCGAAGGCTGTTGCAAGAACTCTGAATCAGGGTTCATCTCCTATGAGCATGGATTTCCATCCTGTTCAACAGACTCTACTTCTAGGTCTGCTATATTTCTGCCTTTTGTTATTTATATTTGCATCTGTTTTCCTGCTTTTAGCTGGCTGGTGTTTCTATCATGGGTAATCGAATTCTGAGTATTCTGAATATGATGAATTAGTTGGTACCAATGTTGGAGACATAGCATTGTGGGAAGTTGGCTCTCGGGAGCGGCTTGTTTCAAAGAACTTTAAAGTTTGGGATCTTAGTACTTGTTCATTGCCTCTTCAGGTTTGTGCCTTAAAGTGTTGTTTAGTGTACTTGCTAATTAGACATACTAAACATGACTTATATTCTTGAATTCAGGCTGCTCTAGTCAAAGATCCTGCTGTCTCTGTAAATCGTGTAATTTGGAGCCCTGATGGTTCTTTGTTTGGTGAGATTGAATCCGTTAAAATTAGTTTATGTTTAATCTGCTAGAACCTATATGTATATCTCTAGGTAGTGTGGGAACATTGATTGACATGTCATACCTGTTCGGAAAACAGGAGTTGCTTACTCAAGGCACATTGTGCAAGTATATTCTTACAATGGTGGTGATGAGGTTCGACATCATCTGCAGGTATTAGAGCTAGTTATCTTGGATATTTTAGTCCTCTTGCTGAGTTTGAGTTGCCTGACTGAAATTGTTTATTTTGAAATTTCTGGTCTAGATTGATGCTCATGTTGGTGGAGTAAACGATATTGCATTCTCTCATCCGAATAAGCAACTTTGTGTAATAACTTGTGGTGATGACAAGACGATTAAGGTTTGTTTATCAGTTTACATGGTTGATAATTATTCTTGGACAAAAATCTAATTTCATGTTGTAATTTTAGGTGTGGGATGCTACCAATGGTATAAAGCAGTATACCTTTGAAGGTCATGAGGCTTCTGTTTATTCTGTCTGCCCTCATTACAAGGAAAGTATTCAGGTAAGGATATTGCTTTATTACTTTAGATGTCTTGCGCTCTTCACATTTGTACCATGGGCATGTACCTATGTCCATTCTTTTGCCTGATATGCCTCCTTTTGACTTTTTCTGCCTCAGTTTATCTTTTCAACAGCTCTAGATGGAAAGATAAAGGCATGGTTGTATGATAATATGGGATCACGGGTTGATTATGAAGCTCCTGGTCGTTGGTGCACAACCATGGCCTACAGTGCTGATGGTACAAGGTTAGTTTGCTTACAACATAACTCATATATTAATCTTCCGCTAATTGTCTATAATTATCAGGATAAAGGAAGTTGTGTTTCATTTTTCTACTTGCCTTTTTGGTTTGGTGGCTGTATATTGTAGGCTATTTTCCTGTGGCACCAGTAAAGATGGGGAGTCATTTATTGTAGAATGGAATGAAAGTGAAGGGGTTGTGAAGAGGACCTATCAAGGATTCCGCAAACGTTCTTTAGGTGTTGTGCAGTTTGACACAACTAAGAATAGGTATTTGGCTGCTGGTGATGATTTCTCTATCAAATTCTGGGATATGGACAATGTTCAACCTTTAACCAGTTTTGATGCTGATGGAGGCCTTCCAGTAAGTTCATTATGTTCAATTAAGTTTTATACCATTGGAAGATAGTAGCTACTTACATTTGTCCTTTCCTAATTCCTAGGCAAGCCCACGCATCCGCTTTAACAAGGATGGCTCTCTCTTGGCTGTTTCCACCAATGATAATGGGATTAAGATTTTGGCCAATTCAGATGGTATTCGATTGTTGCGCACTTTGGAGAATCTTTCTTATGATGCCTCAAGAACACCTGAAGGCCCCAAGGCAGTATTATTACCTCATTTAATTTCATTAGTGGATTAGAATTTGCTATAGTGGTTTTAATATCTTAATTAAATCTTCTCTTATTATGTGTTGTTTTCTTCAGCCTACAATAAATCCAATCTCAGCTACAGCAACAGCTGCCGCTGCTACTAGTGCTGGACTTGCGGACAGAAGTGCCTCTGTGGTTGCTATTGCTGGAATGGTCGGTTAGACATTTTTTTCTTTTACAACCAACATCAAAATTTTATACCACCAGCACTTCACAATTTTGTGTTATGTCGTCATTGTTTTTCCTTTGAGTAGCGTAGCTTGTGTGCATGACTTTGTGGTTTCTCCTTTATGTCTTCTTTCAGAATGGTGATGTCAGGAGTTTGGGGGATGTGAAACCCAGAATAACAGAAGAATCCAGTGATAAATCAAAGATTTGGAAGCTCACTGAAATCAGTGAGCCATCTCAATGCCGATCCTTGAGGCTTCCTGAAAGCTTGAGGGTGACCAAGGTATAGAAATTTTCACATACCTTAGTGCATCACAGATTTTCTAACATGCTGGTAGGCTGACTACTTGATAACATTTGTGGCCCAGCCAAGTAATTGTTTTATTTTTTTTGCATCTTTTTCAGTGCCACTGTTCTTTGGCCAATTGGTGGTATTCCCTGATTCTGCTTTATCTACTTTTCTCTTTCATGCATCCAGAGGTTGGCAGGGTCCAATTGAATTATAAATAAACTTAAGCAATACCTATTAATTCAGAGGTGCAATATCAATTAGTTCTCAATTATTGATTTCAGTTAATTAGCATCCTCAGAAAAAACCCCAAAATATTTATAATTTGACAAATTTGTTTTATCTAATAGTTACCATTTTCAAACTATCTCATATATCAAGAACAAAAAATCCAAGTCTTCTCGCTTCTATCTTTTGTTGGATCTAAGAATTTGACTATTTTAAGATATCATTGCTTTGCTGAGAAGTTTCATGCTCTAAATTGTTTCTCCACTAAAGTTAACAGTGCAGGATTGTGATTAACAGTTGTGTTAGTCTGTTAAGGAAAAGAGTAGAGAATGAAATGAAATGCACTTCTGAGAGAGGAGCAAAACATGCAAACAAATGTATCATCTTTGGTGCATGAAAAATTGTGTAATTGCATCCAGCTTGATAATATGAACGTATGATATTGGTTCCTACTATCTTAAGTCCGGAATTGCTGATGCAACTTTTAAGTAATTGTTGGGTGAGTTGATTAATCTAATTTAGGTCAGCTAAATGCTACATAAGGTTACCTAGTCCTAGGAGATTTAAAAGAAGATGGACGCCACAATTGTTTGAAAATGATTATCCTATAACTAAGATGGTGATTTAAAGTTCTATTGCAGACCTTGGTTTGATGGAAACATCACAATGAGATTTAATTCAAAATGAAGCAGTTTGCTGGAGTAAATTTAAGTGAACTAACACATTTGGTTAGAAACAAGAGGCATTATTCTGCTTCCCTTTACAAGATGTGTCTAATTTTGAAGAAAGAAAGTCAAATTATTGAATAAATGCCCTTGATATTGCATAAAATGTGCAGTGTTCAGGACTTGTATACTGTTGCTCTCCTGTTTCTATTTTCTATAGTTATCCCTATCAAAATTACCCTTTGAAAATCTAGCCTTGCAATTTTTTTTTATTTTTTTTATTGTATTTGCCTATTTGGTTCCATTCACTTTGATAAAGAGCAACTCTATTCCCGAAATTGGATTCATCTTGATTCATCTCCTTTAGTTGGGTCCTATCTTATCAGCTTTTTCTGTGATTGTTACAGATATCAAGGTTAATCTTCACAAATTCAGGTAATGTTATTTTGGCATTAGCATCAAATGCTATTCACTTGCTTTGGAAGTGGCAGCGAAGTGATCGTAATTCAAATGGCAAGGTACAAGTACATCAAAATGATTTCCACTCATCATTTGTGAACTTTTTTTCTTAATAAAAGAATACTTTGTAATGACTTGTATTGTAATTTTTTTATTGTCGCTTCATTCTCTAGGCAACTGCAAGTGTACCACCTCAGTTGTGGCAACCATCAAGTGGCATTCTTATGACAAATGATGTTGCTGATACAAATCCTGAAGAGGCTGTACCATGTTTTGCTTTATCCAAGAATGATTCTTATGTAATGTCAGCATCTGGAGGAAAGATTTCATTGTTTAATATGATGACATTTAAGGTAACCCATGAAAGCTGAATACCTTTTCTTTCTTTATTTTTTCTGTCCCATTTAGAGTTGGGAGCAAGAAAGATTTTCCTCTCTCTCTCTCTCTCTCTCCATTTGTCAATGATTTGAATAAGCATATAATATTTTTATGGACACATGCAGACAATGGCAACTTTCATGCCACCACCACCAGCAGCGACTTTTCTTGCATTCCACCCACAAGATAACAATATTATTGCCATCGGCATGGACGATTCAACAATTCAGATATATAATGTCCGTGTGGATGAGGTATGATGCATCTCATGGAGGATTACGTATCTAACTCTTGTTTGAAGAAGTACCACTCCTTATTTATTTACCATTTTCATCATCTAGGTGAAGAGTAAACTTAAAGGCCACTCCAAAAGAATAACTGGCCTTGCCTTCTCTCATGTACTGAATGTGCTTGTCTCATCAGGAGCGGATTCTCAGGTATTCCTTTTTCTTTTTTACATGCATGCTTTGATGAATAAGCTTCCTCTGAGAGTATTAGCTGGTTTACTTGATTTATTTCCTCCAATAAATCTTCTTAATATTGTCTTTGTTTTATCTGCTCCCTAACAATTCATTGTCTAGTGCTGCAAATTTTCAAAATTTCTGAGCTTTTACAAATAATCTCAGGATAACAAAATCTTGTCTGCTTTCTTCATAGGAAGAATTTAGTGTTGCTTCTGGAATTCTTAGCTAATTAATCAATCAATCTCATAAATTGAAGAATTATCATCAATGAAAATTTTTCTTTTGGTTCATTGATCACATTACCATTCTTTCTCCAGCTTTGTGTATGGAACACTGATGGATGGGAAAAGCAGAAGGCTAGATTCTTGCAGGTTCCAGCTGGGAGGACACCAATAGCACAGTCAGACACACGTGTTCAATTCCATCAAGACCAGATACATTTTCTTGTTGTACATGAGACTCAGCTTGCCATATTTGAAACAACAAAGTTAGAATGTGTGAAGCAGGTACCTCTGTTGTGATGTGGTTGATTTGTTGTGGAATAACATTCTCTTGTGATGTTCTAATATTCTTCTTCTCTGGTTTAGTGGGTCCCTCGTGAATCTTCTGCTCCAATAACTCATGCGACATTCTCATGTGATAGCCAACTGGTGTATGCCAGCTTTTTAGATGCAACTGTTTTTGTGTTTACTGCTGTGAACCTTAGACTACATTGTCGTATAAATCCTTCTGCTTATCTTCCTGCCAGTGTCAGGTATTTTCGCTATCTTCTTGACTCTGGAATTTGGATTTTGCCTGGCTAGGTGGTCTTATAACTTGGGTTCAAGCAAAAATTTTGGGTACAAATGATTCCATGACATGCTCATTTTGATGCGCTGAATTCGCACGTAGTTTTAAATTACAAAAAAATACTGTTGGAAGAGAAGTATGAATACATATTCTAGTTACAAGCTCCATTCTATTAGATTGTCTTAATGTCTTTTGTTCTCTCTGTCTCTCACTGGTGTTATTGATACAGTAAATGACATAATAAGTCAATTCTGATTGTAATTCATGTGCAATTTTATTTGCGTCTCAGTATTACTAGTTATCATTTGAATTTAGAATGGCCACTACACTATCCATCTGGGATAACCGTTCTTATTTAAAAATGGTCTTTTCCTCTGTGTTGCAGTTCCAATGTTCACCCACTTGTAATTGCTGCACATCCATCAGAGCCAAATGAGTTTGCATTGGGACTCTCAGATGGTGGGGTTCATGTCCTTGAGCCCCTTGAATCTGAAAACAAATGGGGTGTGCCTCCACCAGTTGAAAATGGGTCAGCCAGCAGTGTCGCAGCAGCACCTTCAGTTGGAGCTCCGGGATCAGAACAAATCCAGAGATGATGAAATGGCTGGCAGAGCACAAGTTCTTTTATATGCTTGACTTGCAGGCCCATCCCTAATTTAGCTATGCTTTCCCACTGTCTAGTTTGTTAAGAACAGTATTCGCGAAAGACGGACATGCCAAACTAGTTGATCCAATACTTGGGTCGTTCACCATTTTTAATTAGAAATGAATTCAAGTAATTGTAACATTTGATCGTGCTTGTTAGAACAGCAGAATAACAACATTTGCTTGCCTGATTGCTCTACTGAATGGCAGCATTGCCTAATTGATAATGCCAGTTACAAATCTCTTTGAAAGTTATATTGTGGTTTCATTTTTTCTAACAATTGGCAATGACACGATAAAAAAAAAGGGTTTAGTAATCTATTCACTTCTTACGTAATAATTGGACCATTTCTCACTTTAAAGCACAACAATGCAATTTATTACAACTATTTGAGTTAAATACTATAAAGTAGTTTTCTCTTTTTGATATGCAGTTAAAAGAAATAAACAAGCATAAGCCCTTCCAGCTGATTCATATATTAAATTTTGGTAAATTGTGGGCCGTTCGTTTCGGTGTCTCGTGTCAAGCCTTGATTGGTTTTTGTTTTTTTTTTTTAATAATAAATAATATTTAAAATTATAGAAAAATATGTTTATACAAAGATTATATTTTTGTGTTGGATCCATTTATACCATATTTTTTATTTTTTTTTCTTTTTAAATAAAAAGTAATTAAGATTTATTTATTTATTTTTTAAGACACTTAAGTGATGTCCGGTCAACAGTCCCATTTCCTGTGATTATGAAATGTCATTTTCAGGGTTTTTTTTAATCTTTTCTTTTAAATTTTTAAATAAATATTTTTAAATATTATAAAAAAATATATGTTTTTTAAAGATTTTATTTTTTATGTTCTGAACCCAATTATATCAATTTTTTGTTTTTCTTTTTTTATCCCTTTTAACTCTTTTTTTCATTTTTTGTTTTAAAAAATATTTAATAAAGATTTTATTTTTTTATAAGACTCACTTAATATCAATTGTATGTTACATTTCTTCTTTTTTCTTTACTTTTATTTTCTTTTTTTAATTTTATTAAAATTATAAATAATATATTTTTAAATAATTGTATTTTTTATGTGTAGAACTCATTTATACCAAATTTCTTTTTATCCTTTGTGACTTTTATAAGATTTTTTGAAGATTTTTTTATGCCTCAATTGAGTAATGTATGGTCAAGAGTACTATTCTCTTAGGTCATCTTATATCATTTTTCAGGTTTTTTCTTTCTTTTTTTGGGTTTTAAAATGTTTTCTTTTAAATTATTTAATAAATATTTTTAAAATGTTAATATATATTTTTAAAGTTTTTATTTCTTATGTTTGAGATTCAATTATGCTAAACATTCTTTTCTATTTTACATTTTTATCCTTTTGTCCTTTTTTCTTTTTTAAATTTAAGAAAGTATTTAATAATTTTTTTTAGATTTTAGTTTTTATGTCGGACTCACTAAATAACAATAATATGCCATGTGTTTTTTTTTAATATATATACTTTTTTTCTTCTTTTTATTAATATATTTATAAATAATTTTTTATATTTTTTGAAGACCCATTTAATATCAATAGTACATGCCACTTGTTGAATTAGTTATTTCCTTTTATTTTTCTACTTTTTTGTCATTATTTCATATTTTAAAAAACTATATGTAAAATTTTTTTAATATGAGACCATTTGATATGGTTATTTAAAATATATATTTTTTTAATTTGATGATGTAAAATAAATTATTAATGGATATGTTAATATTATACTTGAATTTGATTTAATTTTTCCTTTTCAATCTTCTTTTAATTATATTGATTTTACAACAAATTGAATAGGTTAATAGAGATGATAAAATAATTAGTATGAGATAGAAATATGAATATTTTTGTAAAATAAATTAATATCTAATCAATTCAAGATAATAGATTAATTTAAATATTCACATGTCATTCTCACTTGAGTTTTTTTATTTTAAAAAAATTAAATATATTTTTTTAACGATAAAACTAATAAATATGATGACAATAAAAAATTTTATCCACGGTAGCGTCTGAGTACACACCTAGTATACATTAAACATTATAGGTGTTTCTAGACCTGGCTCAACCCGTCTGCCCCAAGACTCAAAATTTAAAAATAAAAAATTTTAAATATTAAATGCTATTAAAATATTAATATTTTAAATATATTTTAGAATTAAAATTAGATTTAAAAATATTTTTATTAATAATTTAGTACATTAAGCCGAACCACCTTAATAGAACGTCTCTATCCAAGAATGGCCTAAGTCAAGGCCCATGGGCTAAACGGATAATCTGCCCGACATATTAAAGACACAGTCAAATTCTTGAGAAGTGTTGGACCATCTCGAAAGCAAGTATCTTATTGAAAGAGGCCATTGCTGAGAAAATTCAACGTCATATACATGCCAAATTACTCCCACACACTAGTTCTCATAAAGTAGTAATGAAATAGAGAAAAGGACACTCACCGGCAAGCGTGTAAACGACATAAAATTAAGTATGAATTCCATTCATTCATGAATCAGTAGAACAATGGACAAAGTGCAATGCAATACATCACAAACAGCTCATAAATCATCCAAATTACATTAACACCATTCTTCCATCTATTAACCTACAGCAGCTCCTCAAGGGACACCATTTTAGACCCTCCTTTCGCATCGAGGTACGGAGCTAATTTTAGGGTTCCATTCGAACCTTTAGTTCCTGAGCCAGTTGAATCGCCATCGCCTTCCGTTCACCCATATGTACAAATACATCAAACATCTGCTTAAACTTATAAACATAAATAGCAGTCCTCCCCTCTAAAACAAAAGCTATTTACAGAATATATCCCGACGGTCATAGGCATCACCCAGGGCGGAAGTTCACCAAATTAGGCTATTTACAGAATATACCCACGCCACCATAGGAATTACTCGGGGCGGAAGTTCACCAGATTAGGGAGGTCAGCTGACTGAAGCTTCTTAATGTCATTTGCTGTGACCCTGCAAGACTCCATCGTCAGAGATCTTAAATTTTTCAGTGGCTTTAAATGTCGCAATCCTGCACTTGTTATTCGAGAATTCGACACGTTCAAAGAGACCAATCCTGTCAACCCTGCATTTAAATGAATGTGCACTACATGTGTCAGACCTCTACCACTTTGTTGCGATTAGTCTACAGTCTACAAGATGAGCTTCATTCATCATTCCTCCCCATCTCCCACCCCCCACCCTCCATTCAGCAAAACAAAAAGAAAATGTGCAAAGTCACGGCAATACCAGAGATCATCTCCAATGTTTTATCCGTTAGGTTGCAGTTCTGCGAGAGGTTTAGCAATGACAGGGATGAAAGATCTTTAATATTCTTCACTCCAGCATCAGTCAATCCTCCACCACATATTTCCAAGGAGCGCAAGTTCTTGAAGTCTATTAAATAAACAAACAATTAATTCTTAAAATGAAAACGTATCAAGTGTAAAGTTAGCCCAAAAGCATTGAGGTCACCATGAGAGTACAAAAGTTGATTTAACACCCCCACAAGGCCAAAGTAAATAGTGATAACAGAGGCACAGGATGCATCTCTTACAAGCAAATAGAAGGGGTTCAAAAACTGTTACATGGATTCTTCACTTTATCTTAATTTATGGATATAACAATTGGATCCTAATTTCAAAAATTAGCCGAAAACATAATCCAGTTCACGTAGGACACATACCCTTCTCTTAAGACCCTATGCCAAGTCCATGTATCATATGCTAAAATTATCAATAATATGGTGGTTCTTAACCATTCAGAAAGACTAGTTAGTAGAATATTCTTTTCCTCAAAAAGGAAATTGAAAAATACTGTCATATATCATACTCCGCAGGTAATTTGTCCCAGAATCAGTGATACGTGCTCCAAAAAGATCAAGATGAGTCAATCCAGTCAAACCTGTCTCAAGAAGAGAAGAAAATACAAGCAGTTAAAAAAAAATCTACAAAACTGTATATATTTATTAATATGCACATGATCCAAGGTACAGCATCCTAAAGTGCTTGCTAAAGCTCAAAAGAAATAATTATATGCTTTGCTGCATTTTTAGATCTTTAAGATCCAATAGAAAAATATGTTTTTTGTTGACAGGTTTTTAGACAACTAAATTGTTGACCAGAAACATTAACACATTACTTCAGAATCAATCATATTAGACAAATAAAAAGGCTTATTCAAAGAGTTAAAAGAAGCACTTGAAACAGCTTCTAGACAAAATTTGCGTTCTTAATCCTTTTGCACAGTCTTACTTGTAAGAGCCGCAAGTCCAGCATCTGTGATTTGACGAGCATCCAGGTTAAGTGATTTAAGAGATGACAGTCCAGACAGTTTTCTTAAACCACCATCACTAATTATGGTGAATGACAGGTTTATACTCTCCAGATTACACAAACCTACAAGAAGTAAACCAATCAAAAATTGGATGATCATGTAAAAGAACCATTAGATTGTTCAAGGAGGTATCATTCTCAATATGCATATTAAATAATTAAAGTTCCTTAGACTACTAAATGAACAAGTTGACTGCTGTCTCACAACTTAATTCCACAGGTTTCTCCCTCGAGCACTAAAACGTATGAAATGGTGTCGAAAGCAAACTAGATACAAACAACTCTTACTCCTCTTTTTCACTTTTTAATTAAAAAAATCAGTAACTTAACAGCAAAAACCAAAGAGTAAGAAGAATATTCCAGTAAATATTTTAAAACTATCACCATAGCATGAGAACTCCACTGCCTATAATGGCCTGGAGATACTTGCACCACCAGATTTTAATATGATTTTCATCACTGCCAAGAACCTTTAGGATCTTACCATATTGACAATGTTAAGGTTCTTAATTTCGAAAAGTTCCCTACACTACATAACCCATATCAGAAAGGAAAATCATCTAAGCTTCAAGAAGGCTTCCAAAGAAGGATAGCAAATGGGGGAAATGGCAATGAAGAATCAACTAAAAAGATGGTGACAACAGAGAGTTAAAGGAGCATTTTACCAACAAAACTGGAAACAGATAGTAACAGAATGAAACTACAAACTATAGATGATGTCATACTATGAGAAAGGTGGATATCTAACCAGAAAGATGGCTAAGGCCATTGCTTCCAACTTCAGTATCAGACAACTCCAAACATTTCAAACGTTGAAGACCTAAACAAACAAAAGCAAGTATTTTCAAACATCAGTATTTTTTTTCCGATAAGACAGCAGCATTATTAAGGACTGAGGTAATTGGATGGTTTAATGAAATGAATATAGTGAAAAGAAATAGATGATGCCAGTGTTATCCCAATTCCAACAGAAAAAAAAAAAAAAAAAAAGCAAAGCAAGGTAGGAACATATAGTTAAATTATTTCTACTTAAAAAATGAAGCAATTTTAAACATTCAAAGCACTTATGCTTTTCATAACCATATATTGAGTATAATTAATGAAAATACTCGTGCACATCAATTAAAATTGGCAGCATCCTCACCGCATACATCAAATGCAAAGGTAACCTTACTTACAAGGTAATCTGACGAAAAGAAATCCCAAAAGTAAAACTAAAATATTCCAATAAACTCATTCTAGCCTTTCTATTCCTTATGAAAGCTTATAAACTAATTCCACTAGATAACAAAAATAATTTCAAATATTATGTGATAGCAATTCCAACAATTTTATGATTTATCTCATGTTCTTTATGTTAGCTTTCATATCTGCATGTTTCTATGGTCCTCCATCAGCTGAAAACAAATGTTGCCATAGATCAGAAGAACAAAACATAAATTATGATAAAAGATGATAGCAATTTCAGCAATAACCTGTCAAATGAACCAACCCATCATCACCAATTCTACACGAATCCAAGTTCAAGCTCTCCAAATTTGTCAAACCTGGATCAAGTATAAAAAATTAAAAAAAAAAAAATTATGGACTGTAACTACCATTAATAAAAATTATGAAGAAATTTCCCCAAAAACAAATAAATCACAAGATCCTATAATTGTTTTGCAAAGAATAATCTCTCATTATTAAGGTAAATAATTTCTGTTCTATTAATATCCTCTTCATTATTAGATCTCCAAAATAGTGGAGAACACATATATGAAGCAAAGATATATGGTTTATTATTCTATCAAACAAAAAAAGAGAAAAGAGAGAGCACCTTTCAGGTGCATCAAACATGCATCACTGATGTCATTGAAACCCAAGTTTAATACCTTCAGATTACCAAGCTCTGTCAAAATAAATATGCAATAAGTCAAAGGCCATCTCAGAATTTTTTAACTCTACAAACATGGAACGCAGAAAGTATGAATCCAACTTACTCGAAAACTTCTCACATCCATCATCAGATAAATTGCATCTGCTAAGATTCAAATATAACAGAGATGCAAGAGCTTTGCAAAAAAAGGCCAAGTCAATATCATGTTTAATGTAAAGGTAACCAAAATGTAATAAAGTTTATACAATCAATCAATTATTTTGAATATTTCCTGAGAATGACATAAGTTGAATTGAAAGAGAAATCATAAAAGAAAACACCATCAGGAGATTACCATACTGATTTCTAAAACCAAAATGCATGGGTTACTTTAATGAACACCAAAATACTAAAATGCAAATGGGAAGGGCAAAGATTATTTAAATGAAACATCAACTCTTAGCAGCAAACGCAAAATTGCAATTTGCAGTTCAGGATGGAACCATCTAAAGAAGAAATTGATTAGCAGTATGGATGCCAAGAATAGCTACCTGAAAGAGAATCCAAGCATGAAGCTGTAACTGGGCAGCCCTCCAAGTTCAAAATAGAAAGCTTTTGCAGACCTGAAACAGATTTGAAAATATATACAATTTCAAGGAAATAAAAGTTCAGTTTACTGACAGCCAATTCCAGAATTCCTACAATCTGCTAATAAGTAGAAGAATGCTTAAGTGTTACCTATCAAATTGAACAAGCCATAACATGCACAAAAAACCTCAATCAAATCATGGTGAAGAAAATTAAAAGTATGTAAAATTTCCTCAAATCCAGTTTTCATAGGACAAAAATTCAACATACCACAGCTAACATGATAATTGAAAAGATTAAAAGAAAATAAATCAATGGTTCCCAGCGAGAAAAGGAGAAGAGGTAAACTAAAAAAATAAAAGAGAAAAGACATTAATTCTGGTTCCTATCTAGTTCTAAGGTTAAAATTTTGACTTTCTTCGATCAATAGAATGGATTTCTCAACAACATAATACATGCATATGGCAAATAAAACCTTCTTCCTCTAAGGTAATCCCCTCTAGTTCAGATTGAAGCCATTGAGGCAAGGCTTTGTTGAGAGGATGTATATTCGTTGTTGAATGGTTGCACAACTTCAGCATAACATTCTACACCATGCAGTAAACTCATAAAAACCTCCCACAATCACAATAGTCCAACATCAACTAACTATCTGTCTTAGATGACAAATAATTTATCATCCTTAATCCTAATACCAAAATGTTATGCATGACAGCAAATGAAATAGTAACGAAGTACCTTTTAAATAAGCGATGCCAAAATCTGTGACCCTACTGCAGGAGATCTGTAAGCTTTTCAAGTTTGTGAGCCCTAAAACATGATAAGAGAAGTTAGCCCAGATACATAATTGAATAAGTAATTCATATTACTCAGCAAATTGAAGCATTAGCAAAAATAAAAGAAAAAATGCACAAGTTTAATCAAGTTGAAGTGTCCTTATTCTAAATGTGATTCATTAATCAAGTGATATGCAAATAAAACATAGGGATTAAGGATACTCAAATGAAAGAAAAAGCTTTCAACAAGTTTAGATATTTTTGATTGCCTATTGAAAGTTAAAATGCAGTGCTATATCAAATAGAGATGTTCCTAAATTGATACATAAAGGTTTGAACAGTTAGATCCTATGACAAAGGTAGCACAGTTGAGTAATTGGGAAACATATATAGCCAACTAGAGGTCAAGAAAGCAGAAGATTTCTGTCTAACAGAGATAACGTTGAAGAGGCATACTTTGTTTCAGCAGTTTGTAGGTCCTATAATAAAGAACACAGTCGGATTATTGGATATAAATATGTAATATATATATATATATATATATATAAGCCAACTGTAGGTCAAAGATTACACAAGTTTCTTTTGAAAGAAGATAAAAGAAGAATTTATTGATGTGAAAAAACAGTAATATATACAACTATATTAAAACTAAGAGGTAAAGAGAGAGAGTTAAGCTAAGACTATGAGTGTTGTGGAAAAATCTACCAAATGGAAATGGCAATGGAAGAATCACCTGAGAGAGCCTCCATATCAGCATCTGTTATGCAATTACACCATTTAATATTAAGAGACTCTAACTTTTTCAAACCTGTAGATTGATAAACAGTGCTCATGAGTCAAATATTAAATAATTGCTGACACATCATCAATAATTAGCATGCAAACATCAATGACCGTAGAAATGCATCTCACTATATGCCAACTAGTTAAGAGAAATGCCAGCTAGATCCACAAGAACTCATCTCTTTATGTGTTGTGTTCTCTGTTATTCAAACATATCCACTACTAAAGAAAAACACTGTGAGAAACAAACAATTGATCAGAACTCAAATCTACTCTGCCATCATGTACCCCTCTACACAGAGAAAGAGGGGAGCCGGTTCAGACTGCCCACAATGCTACCCTTCTAAACTATGCTCCTCAGAGGAGCTTTCTGCCTCAGGATCGGTGCAAGTAAGAGAAGGAATGCATATTCATGTTTACAAAAACCAAAAAGTAAAAGACAAAGGCAAACATACAAGTCATAACGATATAGTGCCTTCAAAGGAGAAAATTACCTTTGATATGAACAAAGCCCCCATGAATCCAAGGACATTTTTCCAGGTCCAACTTCAACAAGTTTACTAGGCCAGAGAGGGCAGTCATTCCTTGTGCAGTAATTGCACCATTTCTCCGAAAACTCAGACTGGTCAAATTGGAGAGACCTGAAAGATTTTATGTCACATGTTGGCCCATAGGAACTTATCAAGAAATGCAAAATGGTTGAATGTTACTTAAACCAGATGGTTGGAAGGAAGAAATATGCAAGAAAACAAAATGAGAAGGAAACAGTAAAAGAAGAAAAACCAGGTAGGATGGCAAAATGTAAACAGAAAAGCAATTGAGAATTAATAAAATTCAATTTGGCAAAACCTTAGGCCAGACTTGCCAGGTTATGTCGCATCACATTTTGCCTATTATAAAAATTTGGCATTTGACTACATCGGAATAGTAGATCAATAAAAAGTTACCACTGATGTGTTGTAGCCCACGGTCAGAAATCTGGTCACAGTAATTTAAGTTTAAAGACAGAAGGTTAGCGCAATCTTTGAGATATATCAACCCAGAATCAGTGATATCAGAACCAGAGAGGTCCACCAAAAGCAAAGATGACCCTTGTGAAGAAATGACATCCATCCAATTGTCATTAACCCCAGGGTAGTCTCCCAGGTACAGGTCCTATTGAAAAGAAGATAAGACTTCACAGTTCAACTACAATAATTAACAACTAAGTAAATCATGGATAATAAAGATTTTGAAATTCAACTTGCCAAATTTTTTCACTACTTACCTGAAGAGCACAATTTCGAAAAGCTTTGAGAGAAACATCAGTCAGTCGTTGCGAATTCACTAGTTCATTAAAGATCTGCTGACTTAGATCACTTGGGAGCGTAGAAAATGAACCATAATTATCTATATCCTGCTCATGAACCAAGCTTAAAAGATCAGTTCAGACACAGGAATTAAGGATTTGACACAAGCAAGGTATAAGCAAGCTATACCTCTCGTATTTTGTAAGTGCATAATTCCATAAGTGACGGGCATTTTCCTTTTTCCCTTTGAATTTCAACAATAGGTCTAGTAAAAGTTGTTGCCAACCACTTCGAACTCCCACTTTTGCAATATCTTCCAGAAACCCCTCTATGCAAACCATCTTCATTGTCCATTTGGTCTCTCTTCCTAGAACAAGCTCCCCCCATTGAAGAAATGGCTTGTGGTCAAACTATGTCATGAAAACAGCATCATAACACTAATCCATTCAATTACCAAACATGAAAACATTCACTTTACTTCACTCTGTAAAAAGGAAAGAGTGCAGAAGAATAAGTATTCAGCTGACATGATCATCAATTAAAAAAAACAAAAAAAAGTCTCATGCATAACAATTCTCAATAATGTCTTGGCTATAACAACACAGCATTTAAACAACAATTTAAACACCAAAAAATGTAGCTTGTAAATCATATGGAAGATGTCAGCAGCCAAACTTAGAGGTTATTCATCCAACAATTATGTAAACAACTGGTCCCTGTTAATCCTAAACCCAATTTTATGAAACTATGCCAACAATAAAAATCAATATGATTACCAGATATAACCAAAAGTTAGATTCTTATTCACCCCAAAATTTGTTCCTACCGTTCACAATATAATTAATGCAAAACAAAATTGGTAATTATAACTAAAAGTTTGATTCTTTTATTATTATTATTATTATTATTATTATTATTATTATTATTATTTTGAGATGAAAAGCAAAACCCATAAGTTACCAGATAAAATTAAAAAAATGGCTTCTTAAGATTCACTTCATCCTCGTTTTTTAAAATTAAAATATCTTCAACTTATAACTAAAAAAACTAAACTCCAAGCTATTATATCGTTACTTCAGGTAAAGAGTAATCAAAATACAAAAAAAAAAATAATAATAATAATAAATAAATAAAATCATATACTGTTTTAACCTAGAAGAAAAAAGAAGCCAGATATTATTAACAACATTAATAATTAAACGGGTACGTTAAATTTAAAAAAAAAAAAAGAAAAAGAAATATAGAGCGGGGGACTATGTGCGTCAACTACATACTCCGATTTTCAGGAAAACATTTCTACCAAAAAATTTCCTGCCAAAAAGCCTAAGTTCCGTTTTCTTTCGGAAATAACTAAAGAGAACGTTCCTATTACTATAATCTAACAAAGATGATCCAAAGAAAATGATATAAAGCTCCAAAAATCACAGTTATACATCGATTCTGACCATAAAAAGCAAAAAATATCGTACACTCTCTCCCGATTTCCTTGAAAACGAAAACAAACAGAAACGAATGGCTAAAAATAATTAAAAAAAAAAGAAAAATCATCTCCATAAGTACCTTATCATGATCAAACGCTTGAATTGATTTTCTACAGAGAAAAAAAATAAAACCAAAAGGTTTAAACTAAGAGAGAGAAAGCGAGAGAAAACTGAAGCTAAAAGAGAAGAGTGAAGAAGAAAAAAGCAGAGAGTTAATAGCCAGGAGAAGCGACGTGGCTGCTAACCGGAGCAGAGTCCAGACCAACGGATGGTTGACACGTTGCTTTGGAGTCAGGTTGGGTCAATTTAGGTGCACTGAAAAAGATAATGGGATAAGAAAGAAAAAGAAAATATGTTGGGATTTTTTTTGTTGCGTTTTATCCAAAAGTGGGGTGAGCGTGGGGCCCACGTGGCGGGATTTAGGTTATATGTTTTGTACACGCAACGTTTTGGATTAGTTCATAATTGTTATTAGGATTAATTTATTTAATGATGGTCATTAGTTGAAAGGATTAAAATAATTAATCATGAAAATTTTGCCCGTTTGTGGAAGGCTGGTGACCTTTTTTTCGCTGGTTTTGGTGAGTGATTGAACCTGGTTTTGGAAATATGTCAATTGGAAAAATAGTTTTTTTTTTTTGTTTTTAAAAATTTATGTGAGTAAAAATTATTTTATTTCAAAATGTGTGTTTTTATTAAAAAATTTATATTAAATTTATATATATCATAATAAAAAATTATTAACAGCCAATTAAAAAAGTAATTACAAAATATGGCAGCGAAATGAAACTTGGTTTTGCTTTTGGTTTTGGTTGGTTTGGGTTTCGGTGGGTGATTGAACAAATGGTTTTGGAAACATGTCAATCGAAGAAACAGCTACTAAAGTGTGATGGAAATATTAGAATGAAATGAGAACTTTAAATTCCATGATCATTGAATAAAACCATTTGACCATATATAACCTGACTCCTCTCCTCTCCTTTGCATTTATAAATGCAAAAACTACCCGAATATGTAACGTAAAGGTCAGGTGCTTGCCAATGAATATATGCTAATGATAGAGACCCGGGCGGGATTTCTCAAGTGAAGAAAGTTGATTTTTGCGTTCCACTGCTTTCATTTATCTGTATTATGGAAAATTTCCCCTTAAAGATAAGAAATGGTAAACTAATTGATGCCAGTTTTAAACACCATAGTTTGTTGAGAACAATGATTTTTTCGTTTCCCCTTTTCCGGTTTTTGTAATGCATGAGCAAGCCCTCCAGATAAATTCATTGGGTTTATACACAGAAGAGTCCAAATTAATGAATAATAATTTGTCCTTCAACCCAATTCACCAAAATAAATTAAGGTTCAAATCGTGATCAATTTTGGAAAAGTTAATCACATATTGGAGAGATAATTAACTAAAGTTTCAGTTAGGGATGGTAAAATAATGGTTAAAGTTAATTTGATTGGAGAGAATTTTTTTAAATCAGAGATCAAGTTGGAGTCGGGTTGGGTATTTTTTTTTTTTTAAAGCTAGAGGTTGAATCAAAAGCAGATTTTAGCGTATTACCACTTTGACTCGTCCTATATATTATTTATTTAATTTTATATTTATATATATTAATAAAATTATTATTTAATATCTTAATTTAAAATATTAATTTAATAAAAATATTATATTTATATAATTAAAATATATTTTTATTTTTACAATAATATTTTTATAAATATAATAATAAATTAAAATCACTAAATTAATTTCAAGTTGGATATAGAGTATACATATATATGTCAAATCATAGTCACGCATAAAAAATAATAACACCATGCCGGGTTGGGTGAAAATCATGTATAATTTTTTAAGAATCGAAATCAAGATCTACAAAAATCTACTTTGGCCTTACCCATTATCATCTTTAGTTTAAGCTATCCTACTGATCATTAAGTACCCTTTGAATGCTATAATAATTGCTGGAATTAATGTCTTGGAATAATATTATTTTTAGCCTTTAAGAGAACCCTATGAGTTTATGTTTATATGATTCATAACATTATAGTTGTGTTCCTAGTATTATAATTGGGTTTATTTTTTTTGACTTAATTTTTTTTTATTCTTGAAAGATGTTCTGAATCTAACTATAAATACCTCTTCATGTGATGTATAATGGAAAATGCATTTTGAGTAAAAACAAACCTTGTGTTTTCTTGCTTTAAAATTTTATATCATTAGGGTGAAATTTTTCAGAATGGTGATCTTGTTTAGCTCTTTTCTTTAAAATGGTGAAATTTTATATCCCCATAGTTTATGATTATCTTTCTTGTTTCTTTAAGGTCGTAAAACTTATATCCTCAAGAGAGTATGATTGTTTTCTTTTTTTAGTGTGATTAAGATATTCATTTCACTTTGTTCTTTTAATTTGATATCAACTTGGTATCAGAGCTTTGAAACATGCTAAACCCGGTGTGTTCAAAAGTTCTGTAATTTATTCTTTACCAATTATGAAGCTTGTTCCTGAAATAATGCTTATCAAAGAAAAAAATATGTGAAAAAGTAACTATTGATCAACAATTTGATGACATGAGAAGAATGATTCAAGAATTTTTATAATATCTTGAATGCTTAACTCATCCAACAATGAAAGGAATGATGAAAACTCTTTTTATCAATAACATGCAATTAGTGATTTTGGCGATGATTCTTCCCATCATCAACAGAAACACAAAATGTGTTATAATTATAGACAGTAATGGGTCGGTCGGGGTAGGATTTTGCTCACCTTGAACATTATCCAACTATATACATATAATACTTGAACCCGATCTGACATGACATTATATAAAATCATACTCGATTCGACTCGATATTAATTAAATATTAGTTTTTAAATGTAAAATATTATTGTTTTAATATAAATATAAAATTAAATAAATATAAACGCATATATAAATATAAAATTAATTAATTAATTACAAAATAATTTATATATATTAAGTTGAGTAATGTTGGGTTTGCCTAAAACCAGATCCCGACCTCGATCCGAATATGATTTTTTCCTTCTATCACCCGACTTAACCTGATTCAATACTCGATTAAAAAAAATGCCTAAAGATTGGGTTGAGTCGGAATCTGTCGGATACGGGGCAAATTGCTTTCTTTACTCATCGAAATGATGTCAAACTTGACATTCTAGAATTTGAAAGCAAAATGAAATCTGATGAGTTCATTGACTTGGTTTACATGGTTCAAAGAGTTTTTAAATTTAAAAGAGTGTTATGATAGTTGCAATGTAAAATTGGTTGTTATCAAACTGAAAAAATGTGTTTCATTATGGCAGGAAAAACTTGAAAACATGGCAAAGTTGTGATGGAAAAAGAAAAATCAAGACATAGGAATAGAGAATTGAAAAAAAAATTCTTGCTTAAAAATTAGAGGCAAGATAATTTCCTTTAACTTTATAATTTAAGGCAAAAGAACTATCCATGGAAGAATACCAAGGAGTTTGTGCCTCTTATTTTTAAAAGTGATGGGATAAAACCAAAAGAGCTAAAAAATTGCTTTTTACTTAGGTGGTTAAAAGAAAGAAATTGGCATTGCGATCTTTTATAGTTGTATTAATGAAGCTTTAATGATGTACGAAAGCTTGCTATGAATATAGAGAAGCAACAATGAGAGGCACGAAAAAGTAGTTTCAAACCAACCTTTCGTTCAAATCCTATTAATCATAATGGTGCTTCTACCTCTTTCTTATACACTTTTGCTATGAGTTCATCATCAAAAGTTTTCATCTAATGTTAAAATGGAAGCCAACTTCAAACAATCTAGTTTTTTTAGTTTTAGCTCATACATTTGTTTTAAATGCTAAGGGTTTAGACATATTGCATTTGAAATTCTAACAAAAAAATTATCATTTTGGTGGAAACAAAGTATGGAGACATCTTCAATGAGAAAAATGAGTAACTGTAACTAAAATATGATGAATATATGAATTATAGAGATGAAGGTCAAGCTTTTGTCATTTGAAAGAGCCTTAAAACTACTGCTATAAAAAAAGATGAATGGTAACGTGATAATATCTTTCACACTGGATACACATCTCATGATAAGGTATATGATATTATTTATAGAGCGAGCTACACAAATGTGATATCAACAACAATGATAAAAGAGCTAAAATTAAAATCGAAAGAACATCTGCATTTTTACAAAAATAAAATGGTTGAGAAAAAAAATGAATTGAAGGTAACAAATAGATGTTTAATTCAATTTTCAATCAACAAACACTATCATGATTCTGAGTGGTGTGATGTTACTCTAATGGATGCTTATCACATTTTGTTGGAAAAGCCTTAACAATAGATAAAACAGCTTTTCATGATGGTTATAAAAACACCTATACCTTTGTAAAAGATAAAATAAGGATTTTTTTAGCTATCATGGATTTAGGACCTACTTACAAACACACATAAAGAGAAAATAATGCCTTATTATCTGAAATGCAAATGCAAAAGGTAGTTGTTGCTAGTAAGATATTCCATATGCTTATGCTGAAAAAAGAATGCAAAAAGCAAATTTTAAGTTATTAACCCCTTTAGTTCAATCATTTTTGAAAGAGTTTGAAAATGTTCCCAAGAAAGATGTAGACATTGAAAACTCAAAATTGAGTCCTTTTCAACTAGGGAGAATGATGAAAGAGTAAGCCTACAATACAATTTCATTGATTTTATTCACACAAAAGCCTAAACTAATAAATAAAAACTTACCCATCAACCTAATTCATCACAATAAAGTAAAGCCTAAATATAATCTTTCACATGGTCAATTTTGAAAAAACCAACCATACATTGGAATGAATAATTAACTAAAGTTTTAACCACATTCTTGACCATTTGATGCCATAGTAGTTGGAATTAAGGCTACAATAATATTAATTACAACCACCAAAGAGAATCCTATGAGATTTTAGAATTTGTGGTCATAATAATTTCTAACATTATAATTATGTCCCTAGCATTATAATTATGTTTTTTTTCTTTTGACTTGGCTT